CCATGGTACACCCAGCAATTAGTCATACATCACGACAATGTCCATGGCACATCCAGCAATTAGTCGTACATCACGACAATGTCCATGGCACATCCAGCAATTAGTCGTACATCACGACAATGTCCATGGCGCACCCAGCATATAGATGCACACCACAACAATTTCCATGGCACACCCAGCAATTAGTCGTACATCACGACAATGTCCATGGCACATCCAGCAATTAGTCGTACATCACGACAATGTCCATGGCACATCCAGCAATTAGTTGTACATCACGACAATGTCCATGGCACATCCAGCAATTAGTCGTACATCACGACAATGTCCATGGCACATCCAGCAATTAGTCGTACATCACGACAATGTCCATGGCACATCCAGCAATTAGTCGTACATCACGACAATGTCCATGGCACATCCAGCAATTAGTCGTACATCACGACAATGTCCATGGCGCACCCAGCATATAGATGCACACTACAACAATGTTCATGGCACACCCAGCAATTAGTTGTACATCACGACAATGTCCATGGCACATCCAGCAATCAATCGTACATCACGACAATGTCCATGGCGCACCCAGCAATTAGTCGTACATCACGACAATGTCCATGGCACACCAAGCAATTAGTCGCATATCACGACAATGTCCATGGCGCACCCAACAATTAGTCGTACATCACGACAATGTCCATGGCACATCCAGCAATTAGTCGTACATCACGACAATGTCCATGGCACACACAGCAATTAGTCCTACATCACGACAATGTCCATGGCACACCCAGCATTTAGTCACACACCACGACAATGTCCATGGCACACCCAGCAATTAGTCACACACCACGACAATGTCCATGGCACATCCAGCAATTAGTCACACACCATGACAATGTCCATGGCACACCCAGCATTTAGTCACACACCACGACAATGTCCATGGCACACCCAGCATTTAGTCACACACCACGACAATGTCCATGGCACATCCAGCAATTAGTCGTACATCACGACAA